AATGCAAGTCAATTTTCAGGCCACTTCACTTTTAGAAATCTTGAATTTCACCAGAAAGACATCTTTTTCTCCTTGTCTGTACAACACACTGGTCATACATGCTACATTCTGAAGCTGGGTTTGTGTTCTGACTAAAACAGATTTCTAATAGTAATGACAGCTGTTACCATTTGGAGATCTGCTATGTGCCAGGCACTGTTCGAATACTTGATCTACAGTAACTCATACTCTCATAAAACACTGACTGAAGTATCACTCTTATCCAGGATAGGGCACAAGGAGCTGAAGTAAATACCTACAATCACATAGCTAGGGGCAGGGCTAGAATGCAAAGCCAGGCTGAGTCTGGAGCTCCTACTCACTGCACTCTCTCTCATGAATTCCTGGAGGGCAACAACTGTGTCTTATTCATGTTTGTACGCCCCATGCCCAGAGTACCTCAAATATTTGTGGAATGAATTAAAATTTATAATTTTCTCCTAGTCATCCAAGAAAAAGTTCTTTGTAAGTAATAAAGGTTTTTAGTCAGTAATTACAGAACAGAATCTAGAAAGAGTCTTTCATAAGCATGGAAGACTAAAATTAAATTTCTAATAACAAATTGAAAGAACACTAAAGAATTTGGCCATAAAACAAACAAAAAGAAACAAGACAAAACAAACAGAGAAAAAAACTTAATGGGTTCTCTAGATAGCCAAGTAACTAAAGTGGAGTGGAACAAGACGTCTCTTCTAAAGACTTGATGCCTCCTAAGAAAGAGACTAAAGCTATTCTTTATTTCCTATAACAGCATTATTAATGAATCCCACCTATCTGAATCTAATAGAGAGCAGAGCATTCTCAAGGCAAAAGCAAAAAGGCAAGTATTTAAACAAATGTTTAATCCTAAAAGCTCAGTCAGTCCAGAATCCAAGAAAATAAAGCCACATCAAGAGGCATCTTTGTCATCTTTTAAATAACCAAGCGCTGTCCATTAGATCTCAGAAGCATTCAAGCTATCGCTAGTTGACAGCTGCTCTAGTTTGCTTTTTCTTTTCACTGTGATAAACACCATGACCAGAACCAACTTGGGAATAATACAGTTAATTCCCTTTCATGCTTCCAGGTAACAGTTAACCACTGACGGATTTTTAGCAGGAACTGAAGCAGAGCCCATGGAGGAATGCTGCTTACTGTCTTGCTTATAAGCCAACTCTCTGCTACCTAGCTGGCTGGCTTGCTTGCTTCCTTCCTCCTTTTTCTTCTAGTTTGTTCTTTGAGTCAGTCTCACTATGTAGCCATATTCAAACTGACACAACCCCGAAACAAATATCTTTCAGAATGTAACTCTTTTTTGACTTTAGGAAGGTGCTTTAACTCTATACTCCAGCAAGAAGCAAGCAGACCTGTAATCAAACATTAATATTTCTGCAACAGAATGAGTATCCACACTCACGGGGATGAATAAAAGCTATAAAGTACCATATCCACTAAGGTCAGGCTATGAGTCTGAAAAGTATGTTCTGTTTTCTGAGCTTTTAAGATTATGAAATTGTGAGAAAAGAACCATACTCATTGCACCACTGCATTCATTTTTTTTTTTCACTGAGAAGGACTTTCTTATAAGCCAAATCCAGGTCCAACAGTAGTTTTCAGACAGTTCAGAGCTGGCAATACCACTGGAAATCACCTTGGAAAACCCCTTACTTCACTGTTTAGTAACTGAAAGCCACAAAGATGAAATGAGCTGCCTGGGGTCACGTGCTGTGTACCTACAGAGCTGAAATTAGAGACACAAGTCTACAGTCTCCCTTTGTCTTCTACTCCCTCCTAGTCCCTTCCCATCCCCACTATGCCTTGATTTGAAGTGATGTATCTCAGTTGTTTGTTTTTTTAAAATACTGAAATAACTACAGAAAACAAGTTGTGAAAATAGGAGAGGTCTCTGTACCTTGGACCTAACTTCACTCAATAGTGACAAAATTTAATTTGTAGCATAATACTGAAATCCTACCCCAAATCAACTTTATTGTTTTTATTTTCAGCAGCTTCACAATCTTGGTTCCGTTTGTGCAGCTTCATCTCTTGTCTAGACTCATAACCACCACCACAAGACTCCAAGCTGGTCATCAGTATGATACAGCTCTTCACAGTTTTCATTCCTCCCTGATCCTCACAATGCCATCTAACTAGAAGTCTCTCATCGGTTCTCCATCTCTACGGTTTTGGCATTTTTCAAAATGATCTAAATGTTGTCTGTCTTAGTTTGGCTTCTTTGCTGTGATAAAACACTGACAAAAGGCAACTTACTATGTAAATGATTTCTTTGGCTTATATATCCAAGTCATGGTCCACTGAAGGAAGTCATGGCAGAAGCCTGAAGCAGAGACCATGAAAGGCTACTGTTCATTGGTGGGTTCCCAATGGCTTGCTCAACCTTCTTTCTTACACAACCTAGAACTACCTGCCCAGGGTGAAGTACCACCCCAGTGGGCTGGGCCCTCCCACATCTATCATTAATCAAAAAAATATGTCAAAGTCCTGCCTACAAGCCAGCCTTTATAGGACAACTCCAGCTTGTGTCAAATTGACAATAATAACAATAATATAAAAACACATTGTATAAATGGAATTATACATAATATAAACTTGTGGAACTGAGTTCTTAAAAAACTGGTGTTAGGAAGCTGGGTGGGGTGGCTTTAATCCCAACACTCAAGAAGCAGAGGCAAGTGGATGGATCACTTATAGTTCTGGGCCAGCCAGGGTTCCAGTGTGAGACCCTGTCTTCAAAAACATCAAATACACATTGATGAAATGTACTACCTGACCTCACTGGAGTGTGAATAGTTCAGTAGTGCTAGCATAACTGCTCCTCATCTTCTACCCTTCCTCTGAGATTGACCACTTGGAATCCTTGTGTAAGTAGATCACACATTTTGTTTTTATGAGTTGTTAATTTCACGAAGCATATATTTTCAATGTTCATCTCTATTGTAACATATGCCAGTTTTTTAAGGTTGATTAATATTCCATTTTATGTATACAAATTCATTGATTCATTCACAACTATGAATACATGAGCTATTTCTACCTTCTGGCTATTTAAATAATGCTATAAACATAAATATATAAATACTAGAAACTTTTTAACTTCTTCTGGAAATATATTTAGAAGTAACTCCCAGTTTTAAAGAATAAAATTTAACTTTCTCACTTCAAATAATTCCTTTGGGATTCATCCAAGTTGTATGCACTGATATCAATATTCCTTTTTTCTTGTCAAGTAGTGTTTGTGTTTGGGAGAGCACATATATGTTCAAATAGATATGTATACATGTGGAAGCAAGAGGTGGACACTGGGTATCTCCCCTGATCTTGCCCCTCCTCTTATATTTTGAGACACAGTCTCTCATTGAACACAATTAGTGTCTTGCTAAGATCATTAATTATATAGGCTGGCAGGTCAATGGACTCAAAGGGTCAGCCTGTTTCCATACTGTATCCCAACACTTGGATTAAAGAATCCACTTGTACAACTCTTGGTGCCCAGCTTTTTTATGGGCACTTGGAATCTAAACTCAGATGCCCATGCTTGTACTGCAGGTAATTTAGTGACTGAGACATCTATTCAGCTCCACCAAATTATGGTTATGTATATTGATAAATTATTCATCAATGAATGACATTTGTGTTGTTCACATAGGGAATGTTCCAAATACCCATGTTGATAGTAACTTCTTAATTATCAACATTTTGCTGACAAGACTTTGGCAAAATTATAGCCAACTTTCAACATTATAAACATCCTTGTATAAGTTCTGATATAAACACGTTTATTTCTTTGGGATAAATGTTTAAGAGTTGGATCACTGAGATATATATTTAATCTTATAAGAAACTGCCATTTTCCAGATTGGCCATACCAATTTACATTCCTATAAGCAATGCATGCAAAATCTGTTTTTTTCTGTTTCTTCAGCAGGATGTTGTATTGTCAGTGCTAATTTCATTCCTTCTGATAAGCATGTAACAGCATCTCCCAGTGAGATAAATCTGCATTTCTCTTACGATTGAACAATCATAAGCTTACCTGCCATCTTTGTGTTCAACTGTATCATTTCCTTTTCCACTACTGAGTTAGTGACAAGGGCTCTTGTTTAGCCCAGAATTTACTGGCTTAGCTAGACTAACGGGCCAGCCAGCCATAGGAGTCCTCCAGTCTCCACATCCTCAGTGCTGAGATGACAGCCCTCCAGCCTCTTTACATGGTTGCTGGGAATCAAATTCAGGTCGCTGTGCTGGCACAAGCTGCACTGTATTGGCAAAGACATCTCCCCACGCAGCAACTTTTCTTCACATTTGAAAGAAATTACAAATCACAAGGTGTAAGTTGTTTTTTAAATTATAAAGTTTTCTTTTTAATAAACCCTAACAGCAGGTTAAATGCTGGTCCAACATTAAGTAGTACAAGCCACAAGACGATAATGACTTCTACCTGGATAGTCCTATACCTGGAGATTTGTTCACAGCTGTCTATTTTGTCTGTCTGTCTCTCCCGTCTTAATCTTTCTGTAGGGGAACACTTTAATAGTGGGGAAATGAAAATTAGTCTATCGCACTTTTAAAATACGACTTCTTGAATGTGACTAAATAAATATACGTCTCTGGTTGATATCTCCACAAGTCACTGCTCCATCTGCACCTCTGATCGTTAAGCGAAAGTGTGAAAAAACATCCAAGTTTTTCTCTTAGGTCAAACCATTTATCCACTGAGCTGAGCCAAACAGAATAATGGTAAAGAGACACCAAAGAATGTATAAAAAGGTTAAAGAGAGAAGGGATAAAAGAACCGGCCAGGCCCAGAGCTCGCATGAGTGTTCTGACCAGGGGAAAAAGAAGAAAAGACGCGTGGGGACGGGTGACAAAAGAACCAGCCAGGCCCTGAGCTGGCGTGAGTGTCCTGACAACAATACAACAGTAAGGACGAGTGGGCACGGGCGGGTCGGTGGGTCGCTCACCTGGCAGTGGAGAGCAGCGGGTGCTGAGTCCCCACCAGCTTCCGCACCTGCATAGCGATGTTGCTGAGCTCGTCACTCAGCAGGCAGCGGAGGCTCATGAAGGAAGCGGGATAACCCACGATCTTTTCGGCCTCGGACACCACCTGGTTCCAGTGGGCTGGAGTCCTGGAGGACCGACCACGCCAGGAGCCCACGGAGGAGATGCTGTCGAGGGATCTGGCGCACCACCACTGGCGATGTGGGGGACCAGAGGCCCCGAGGTACCCGGACAAGCGCAAGAGCAGCTGCCGAAGGCTCATAGTTTGAGTCCGAGAGGGTCAGGGACCTGGGGAAGGTGTCCAGGGATGATGGCACAGGCAACAAGCAAGGGCTGAAGAGGAACTTTCAGAATCTAAAAGTTAACGGCGACTCCAGACCCTCGGAGAAATGTGGCTTTCTGGAGCCGTAACCGGGAACAAAGTTTGCTGCTTCTGCAACCCAAAAGCTGGCGGGACCGCAGCCGCAGCTCAGAAGCTACACTGGCCACCTGTGGCAATACCACAGCCACAGCCTACATGGGGGACGCCATGTTGGAGGCATGGAATGCGGCCTGCCGTAAAGATAGGGGCGGGCTGATGAGCGGCAAAGCGTGCGCCTTACTTTACGGCACAGGTGAGACCGCCCTCAAGGGGCGGGGCTTTGGCGGAGACCGGAAGGTGATGGGAAGGTTGGTTGCCTCTGTCCTTGCGCTTCGGTGTCCTCCCTGCGGGGCTGGGTTAGGCAGCCCGGCTTCCTCTCTGGCCCTGGGTCTCGGAGGATTCGGGGTCCCAGAGCGTTCCCCCCGGGCCAGCGCAGAGCAAAGCTTATGTAAATAAATATCTGTGCCGTGAGTCGGCGCCTGCAGTGAGGTCGTGGGGCCGTGGCGCAGGCTCGCGGGGAAGCCCGCCCCTCCTGCTGGGCGATGTCTGCGCTGTAGACCCCCGCAGAGCTGGGACGCTCTCTGGCCAACGTGTCAGGGTTTCTCCTGTTAAAAAACACAGGCAGCCACAGCTTTGCCTTCTGCACAAGGAGGCTGTGAGAATGGAGTGAGACGTGGCTTGCTCCCCTCTCCAGGATTGAAAATTCTCTGGCCTGACTGCATTTCATTATTTTGGCTCACCTAATCTTTTGTTGCATTTTAAAGATATTAGTATCCCCTGCATTTTGAGAAAACTGAGTGATGCACAACCAGGTTGCAAATTACTAGGGTCACTTTAAGCAAGAGTGTGAATCCAGGCCTCATGCCACGAATGCTAGTCTAGTGCTCTCCTTCCGAGCCACATTACCAGATCCATTTACTTATTTGAATTTATAATCCTAACCACAACATTAAGTAATATGCTACCAAAAATATATTTTCTTCTCATTGCTAAAGGGTTGTTATCAGTGTGGTGACGATTTCACTACTGGAAGGAACTTCTTGGTATAGGCCTCTGATCTGAGACTTACTATGTAGCAGAGACTGATCTGTAATTACTGATCCTCGTGTACCTCGAATTCTGGAATTACAGATGAGGGCCACTCTGCCCCTCTAGTGCTACCCATTCAAGTATGCATAGCATCTTTCCCTTCTAATTACTCAAAACAAGTGTTGAGGTCAAAAAGCCTCAGGTTCATCCCGTTGCCAAAAAAAAAAAAAAAAAAAAGTAAATGTAAGAAGCTAAGTAAAATGCCAGGCAGTGGTGGTCCATGCTCTTGATCCCAGCACTCCAGGCACAGGCAGGCGAATCTCAGTGAGTTAAAGGCCAGCTGGCCTACAGAGCAAGTTCCAGGACAGTCTCCAAAACTACAAAACCCTGTCTCAAAAATCCAAAAAAAGTAAAAATAATAAAGGACTTGTTGCCTACATTTTGCAATCAGGAATAGTTTTTAAAACTCACTTAAGCTTTCAAAATTTGTAGTTGATATTTTTAAGTTCACATAATGTAAATGAATTAGACTTTGAAACTACATATAAAATTAAGATTTAAAAGACAAAGAGAAATTGTTCACACTGTAAAACAAAATGCTTTTATCTATAGAAGGTTTAGCTGCAGATCTCTTTGAGTGTCAAATCTGCGATTTTGAGTTTCTATGTTAGGGCCAGCACTCAGGAAGCAGAGGCAGAGGCATCTGTGAGTTCAAGGGCAGCCCAGTCTACATAACCAGTTCCACTCTGGTCAGGCTGGGCTCCACAGTGAGACTCAGTGTCAAAAAATAAAAGCTCTGCCTTATTTACAAAAAAAAAAAAAATCAGTGTAGGTAAAACTTAGAGTACATTTTTTGAAGGTGAATCACATTTAAAAACAGTCTCCCTACAAGGGAGGTAAACTGAATTTTAAAGATAGTTTTTATGTAAGAGATACATTTCTAGCAATAAATCCCAAGTCTGTTACTGTGTAGAAATAAATGTGAAAAGTCAAGTATTTTGTCATCCTTAAAAGTTCCAAGGCCTGAGCTTCTGGGTTATCCAAGGAGAAAGAAGTCATGAAAATCCAGAGAGAAAAAGAGTGAATGTGATATATTGTGCACCTGAGGCTGTTTCTTTGCCATCATAGTACCTTAAGAGTAACTTTTCCTGCATTTGCCTTAATAACAATTCACAGCATGTACTTTAATTTCTCCACAGAAGCCAACTACATTATTCTCTGGTCATACTCTATTAACCAGGTTTTTGATTATTCATGGGACTTCTGGTCCCATTTACTTTAAATAACCTGCACTTTCCTTTATACTTACATTTAAAAGGTTGCATTATATCTAATGATAATCAGTTTTAGAAGGTTAAAATTATATTTGTTCTTTAATCCTCAGATAAATACATATTTCCTTAAATCTTTATAGCTAAAGAAATTTCTGAATTGCTAGTGACTTTTTTAGGAATATGGAGGGTGTATGTCTGAGATTCTACCTATCCTTTGTTACGGATAATAGTTATTTTAAAGTGTGTGTGTGTGTGTTTTCACAAAAGAGAGATACAGAAGAGTTTCTCAACCTCAGCATTACTGACATTTTGAAATAGGATTCTTGGTTGAGGGGGAAAGAAGCCTCTCCTAATTCTTGTAAGATATTTAGCAGCAACCCTGACCTGTGCCCACTAAATGCCCAGAAGTACCTTTTCCAAATTGTGACAAACAGGTATATTGTCTCTAAACACTGGAGAGTATCCATCCTTGGGAGGGCAACCTAGCCCACTGGAATATGAGAGACACTGAAAGCAAAACCTATCTCCAACCATGACATGTATTCCCACAGAGCATCAAGGGAAATCCCTGTCAGGAATCCTGCAAGATTGTAGTCAGCCATACACAGACTCTCCAACTTGGTCATTGAATTTTTCCCAAGATAGCAAACTACAAAAGATGGCCATGTTTCTTCTCAGAATCCTTCCTCAGTAAGTGGACTTACTTAGCCAACTCTCTGCATTTAGCCAACCTTAGAAAAAAGCAAGGCCATGTTTTGGGGCCTTGTCTTTGAAGTCACAAGCTAATCTTCAGAAATACAATTGTCAAGGTTGGTGATGCGGTGGGCATTAGCATTCTCATGATTTTGTGACTGAAAACAGAGACATCGCAACTACCGTCTATTACCTTCTTTGCAGTTGGTTGCCTCTTGTTTATCCTGAGAGAGTTCTCACATGAACTAAAGAAAGCATTGTCATACACTTTGGAGCCTGATGATAAAGGGATCCATGTAATCAATAGCAAAACCAAAAAAAAAAAAACCTACCAAAACCAAATTAAAATAACAAAGAGTAAGGAGGTGCTCTGGAAGAATAGTAAATTGCATTCTAGAACAACAGCCACAACAAAAATGTTTGCAATGAATCTTAAATAGCCTGTGGTCCCAGAAATTAAGAAAGCTGTTTAAATCTAAAAGACTAGTGGGACAGGACAAAGATACAAAGACATCAACGTAAAGGGGTTGAGATGGAGAAAATGTGAACATCAAAAAAAAGTAAGAACTTTAATGGGTTGAAATTAATTGATTACATATGAGCTTATAACTAGATATAACTTGGGCAATCTGAATATTGTCAATTGAATGAAAGAACTGAGTGTTTATTCTGCTTTTCCTGTATGAATTCTACTTAGTGGTCTTTTATCCTGGCCTACCCCCTTGAAAACTGAGCCTGACACAAGGGCGTACTTTTTAGGCAGTTGATTTTGGACAGTGGTCTCAGGAAATAGCAGTGGATAACTAGGGAAAGGAAAGTCAATATGAGAGTGTTCTTGAATTAGTCATCACTGTGGGCAATGAGGCCTTGAGCCAGCAAGAATATACTTAGTAACTGCCAGCTGATGTAAGAAGAGAGCATTATTTACCATCTTGAACCTTCAGTTGGTCCAAGTTTCCCTCTTGGGGCTCTCCTTCACACTCCAGGTGTTATATGTGTGTTAGGTAGATGTGTCCCCCACCTCATGGAATCAGAGGAGGTTGTGGTGGAGAGGCAGAAAACAAGATGTAACATGTCCAAAACATATGTAAATGTCCACAATGAGGAGAGATGCTATGGAGTAATGTTGATAAGAAACAGATCGTCACAGAAATGGCCATAGCAAAGGTGGATTAGGAGGATGTAAAACAGGAAACAGGCCCTGACTAGTGGGATAACCAATATGCCTAGATCAATGAGAAAAGGTTCTTAACGGTAAAAATAATTCCACTGAATAAAAAAGAAGGGGTAGAATTAGGAACCGCCATTTTGTAATTCTTTGTAGATTGGTTGATTCAAGCATCAATTGCTCATTAGTGGGAGGCTGGTAGAACACTTTGCCAGGGAGACCTTGGGCTGAAACCCTCTGTAATGAGTACTCTGTCTTGGTGCAATGTGGGAAGGTCCATGCTCAAATGCCTTCTGATGAGGGGCATCGTGAAGCACACCTCACCTAAGCAGTGTTTTATCTAAAATCATTAAATCTAGATACCATCAACTCTCTAGCTTCCCATCTTTAACGATTGTAGAGGGAAGTAAAACAATTAAAATGCCATCACAAGGAAGCCAACCAACAAATCCAGGCCACGGAATAACTATAAGCAAGCTGCATGAGTTTCACCAAGATGCGGAGAAAAGATGAAAGGGGTAAAAGGATACCTCTAGATGGGTTTTTTAAGAGAACTAACTAACCCTGTGCAACATGCAGACTTGTTTGAACCTCACTCTAACAAGCTGATTATAAAAACTCAAAGAAATGTCAATATGCTTTTGATATAGTAGTAGTACAAAGGGGTTATTAATCGGTGTAGGTCTGTCAGAAAAATGTCAACCATTTTAAAATGATGCACACTAAAGCATATAAGAATAAAATAACAGTATCAGGGATTTTCCTTAGGGCACAAAAGAAGCCAGGATCTACAGGCCTAGGGCTATGACCCTAGCTTCTTACAAGGAAGAACAGGAGGATCATAAGATCAAGGCCTCCGCGGGCTTCAGAGTAAAATCAGAACTGTTCTGAGCAACTTTGTGAAATTCTTACTTATACATAAATAAATAAATGGAACAAGAACTCTAAAATCCAGGACATTTTTGATTTTGGTTTCTAGGCAAATGGTGTTCATTTTACCATCCTATTATTGTATGTGCAGATATTTTTG